GAGAGAGAGAGAGAGAGAGAGAGAGAGAGAGAGAGAGAGAGAGAGAGAGAGAGAGAGAGAGAGAGAGAGAGAGGTGAATCTGGGCACGCGATATGTGTGCGTGTGTGTGCGTCACGTGATTGTTTCTGGGAAGTGGTTGGCGACCAGGATCATCAGATGAGCAGATGCCTGCTGTTTTTTGTCGATGTGGGCGTAGGTCGTGTGACTTGACCATGCAAGAATTCTCAACATTATTTCTGTTGTTTGTGCTTCGTCTTGCAGAGAAAGTCTCAGCGAGGCCAATGACGAGGATGTGAATTTTGCACAGTCGATGGAAGCATTCTGTTGGGGACATGATGATCCCACGAGCATTGCTGTTGGTGGTGAGTTGTGTGCAGTTGGCCCGAGATGTGCTTGATGTTATTTGACTATACCGGAATCGGTTCGAATGGTGGGTAACGAACGTGTAAGGCTTCTTGGACTGTCTCTCAGTGTTCAAGGGCTGCTGACAAGGGAAGTTTGGAAGATCGTTGTTGCCGGGACATTATTGTGTAGGCCTTTTGATTTGACTGCAAGCAGGCCAAGGCCTAAGGTTTGTGTGCACTGGCCATGCCATTTGACACCATAGGGAGCCGGGTGGCACTCAAGGCCTTCTTGGAACCCCTGAAGAGGATGAAAGTAGCTTACCCATCTGACCCCTCTCCGTACCGGAATGGGTTTGACTGCAGGCCTTAACCTGCTCGGAACTCCCGGAATGGAAGAAATAAATTAGCAGGGTTCCACTGCAGGCCTTAAAAATGATCGGACCCCCCTTTCAGAGTGAAATTAGCTGGGTTACACTGGAGGCGGTAACCTGCTTGGAACCGCCTTCAAGGATGAAATTAGATGGGCTCCACTGCATGCCTTAAAAGTGCTTGGAACCTTTAAAGTTTAAACATGAAATTAGATGGGTTCCATTGCAGGTCTTAAAACATCAAATTAGATGGGTTCCATTGCAGGTCTTAACCTGCTTGCTGTCGGGTAGCCCCTAACATTATTGTTCCTATCAGGATTTCAGCTCTAGATTTGTTTATGAACGGGTTAGCCTGTTACATGCTGCGCCTGCAACGTGCTGCGCCTCAAACGAGGGCCATTTTCAGGCCCTGTGTTGTTTTCAGCCTAAAAGCCTGAAAACAAGGGCCTACAGGCCCTGTGTCGCTTTCAGCCTAAAAGCCTGAAAACAAGGGCCTACAAACCCTGTGTCGTTTCAGCCTGAGAGCATGAAAACAAGGGCCTACAGGCCCTGTGTCGTTTCAGTCTAAAACAGGGCCCTCCAGGCCCTGAGTCTTTTCAGCCTGAAACGGAGGGCCATTTTCAGGCCCTCATAAGATCGACCTGCCCTGAAACTTAGGCACCAGACCAGGGTTTTAGCACAGGCCTGTTTTTAAGACAACCTTTGTTTGAGCTTCAATGCCAGGGTCTGGCACGTTTTGGCATTGGCAAGAGCAGCCTCCTGGACGGGCCAGCACTGTATAAGACGGGCCCGTCCTGCAGGCTGCAGGTAGTTGATAGGGACTTCTCAGGCACTTCACGTGCAGTTCAGGAGCCAGGAGGTAGTCTTCGGGATTCGGCAGCAGCACTCTGGAGGAGAGCTGCAGTAGTAGTAGTAGCGTTAGCAGTAGTCTTCAGTGCTGGGTGCTATTAGGAGCTAGAGTAGCACTGGAGAGAGAGAGAGAGAGAGATTGGGCGGAGGCCAGGGAGACTTACTGGCAGCACCATAGCTCCAGCTCGTCGTCGAGGTACCTGCAGCACAGCGCCATCTTCACAGGTTAGTACCTGGCACATGAGAGAGAGAGAGAGAGAGAGAGAGAGAGAGAGAGAGAGAGAGAGAGAGAGAGAGAGAGAGAGAGAGAGAGAGAGTTCTTCCTCTTCCTCTCTCAGTCCACCATCTCCCCCTCAGCCTCTCGCTACCTCACTTCACTGCATCAGCAGACTACGAGAGAGAGGGATTGGCAACGTTTGTATACAGACTTGACATTGGGCCTCAGACATTTGACGAGGGATTATCTGGGACTTGTACCGAAGACTTGGTGTTGACGACATTCCCATCTCCCCCCCTCTTCTTCATCTGATCCCCTCCTCTTCGTCTGTGTATGGTCTGGACATGGCGCATTCTTCCTGTGTGTAGCGCCAGGCCCCTTCACACCTTATGATTAAGATGATGTATGTTTGGTCTGGATTGCGACATTGATTGGGCTAGTCCTTGGTATTCTAGTTTTCCTCTACGCTGTCTGGTACTATGTGAGAGAGGTCAGTCCCGGTTAGGTCAGGGCTTATGTCTAAGTCTTCCACTGCGCTACAAGGTGCCACTTTGTATGTATCAGGATGTACATTGCTTGTTGAGATTCCACTAATATCGCATTGTCCATTCAGTCCTTTTTATCACATTGCGGATCCTTGGCTATACATACATTGCCCAAACCTGGCATGTAACAGCCCTAGTCAAGTCAACGAGCAGTTGCAACGCGTGACCTGTTTTCACGCTTGCTGTCCTGTCATGCTCACGACAATGAAGATGGATCACTCTCTTGTTCATGTGATATCTCGAGCGTCGTTGGACCTCGAGCAGGGAAAAGAATTCAAACGGAAAATGGGAGGACTGGACCACAGATGGGAAAGAGAAAATCTTGCTGGACCCCAAACAAAAAGAAAAGTCTCATTGGGGGACAGTGCAGAAAACGGGGAAAGTGGACTCACAAAGAAGTGCTGTGCATGAGACTCTGATTGGGGGATTGTTTGGGGGACAACCTGAGTGGTGGGTATGACTGATGTCTGATCTTTGATTCAGTCTCTTGCTCCTGTTATTGTTGCAGGGCCTGTGATGAACAAGTTCACCATCTCTCTGAGAGAGATTGGGACATACAAGGAGGTGCTGAGCTCTCAGGTAATTCTTGGCGGGTATACGAATCTGGGGGATTAGTGCTCACAAATCTCAGGAATGCAATTGCGATGGCCAGCAGGCAGGAAAGGAGTAGGTTTTGAGAAGCCAGAGAGGCAGCAGTGTAATGTGACATAGCTGTTCTCCCACTGACCTTTGAAGACTGACTACTGACAAGAAGAACCAGTACCGGCTTTGGATGGCATGAGAAACCTCCTCCCTTAATACTTCCACTCTCTCTCTCCCTCCCTCTCTCTCTCTCTCTCCTCTCTCTTTCTCTCTCTCAAGGAGTATGCTATGAAAGGTGGGAGTGTAGCGTGGCACAGTACTCCCACTGATCTCTCAAGATTGACTGCTGACAAGAAGAACCACTGCCGGCTTTGGATGGTGTTGAGAACCACCTCCCTCACTACTTCCACTCTCTCTCTCTCTCTCTCTCTCTCTCTCTCTCTCTCTCTCTCTCTCTCTCTCTCTCTCTCTCTC